AACAAGCAAGCAGTGGTAGGAAGCCCTGAGGCAGCAGATAGGAATGTACTCCCTGGCTGGTGGTCACAGGGAGGCTGCTCACAACACTGATGTCTTCATCTGGCACAGGTTAATTTAAAAGATGACATTTTAGTGGAAACCTCTTAATTTATGTAGAAATTACATAGAATGCGTCAATTTGTGGGCAGAGAAGCAGGTGCCATTGGCTTGGGTCTCTCACTGTAGCTGTGGTTTTGTGTTACAGCCTGGGTAGTGGCTTCCTGCTAACGCTTGTCCCCTCATGTCTGAGAATGAGAAAAAGAAAAAAAAAAAACTGATCACCCTTTGACCACGAGATCAGTTCCTCAATGTGGTCCATGGCACAGGCTGTGCAACCACCGTGCCAACACACTTGAGACAACTGCGGCGTGTGGTGGGAGAACTGAATGGCGTTGGCAGGACAGCCACGAATGAGTGCCAAAAGCTTTGCATCCCAAATGTGCAGCATTGCTCTCTGTTTATTCACTCTCTTCCTACCTTCAGGGTCTTCACTTTCACGCTTAGGTGCAGCTAAACCCAATCTGTGCTCCAGCGCAGATGTTTGCAGTCAGTCTGTAAGGGAACCCCTCTGGCTTTGTAACCCACTGCCTTCACACAGTCCTTGCCAGGCTGATCAGTGCCCCAGGCACTGGATGTCGTTATTTCAGTTCTCACTAAATAAAGGGATATTTAATTTATCTCCACCGCTTTCCATTAGCCTAATTGAAGAGTGTTTAACATGTTCCACAAGGAGCATCTTCGAGCAGAGCAGTATCTCCTTGCTGACCCTGGTAAGACCATTCTACCTCTCCTCTGATATGGTAGTCTTCAAACTTTATCTCCAGGCTATGTCAGTATTTCTGGATTAGATTGCCTTTCCAAAATTCGCATGACTTTAAGAAAAATATGATAAAGCAACATGTATTGACTAGTCCTGTAAACATACTACTCTAATCCAGGACTTTACTGTCCTTCCTTTTGTGACATATATTCAGGCCTGTTCATCCCTGCACTAGATAACAGTATAGGTATTCACACTGTTACAGCTGAGAAAACCCTACTCTTCTGAAGACATGAACTACTTTTCATAGGACTGAAACTTCTGTTTGCCCTATTCAAAGGAAAATATTTCTGAAAATTGCTGATAAGTGCATCTGTTTGAATTCATCAACTCATTACCACTATGAAAATTTGATAAACAAATATCCTTTAAGTGAAGTTTCCCACACTTGCAGCGTAATTACATTCTCCACTACTGCATTTGTTTCCTCTTTAAAAGAAGCAGGGGGAACACTGAGCAGAATCACATTCAGCATTTGATATCAATATCAAGAAAGTACAGAAAGGTCCATTGAATCGTGGAGTGATTCAGAAGGCAGTAGAAGAGGGCTCTCTGGCTATGCAAAAATGTCAGTGGTTCAACATTAGATCAGAAATTTCTTAAACATGCTGTTAGGGACAGTTAGTTGTTTCATCTGATTTTAAAACATCAGCAAAGTGAGTCTAGCAAGGTGCGGTGAGGAAGTGTGGTGTCACATGCCACGCTACAGGAAACAAGACCGAAGCTGCTGAGGAAGTTCAGAATTGGGTGACCTCCAACGGATTCAAATAGCACAGGTTAGTCCTCTTAAAACATCTCTTTAACTATCCTACAGGGGTTCTGCATGTGTATTTTCACTGACTTTTGGTGGCAGTGGATAAGGAGTGGTCCATATGGCAGTTGCATTAGCAGGTAGTAAACAACGTGGGCTTTCAGAGCAGAATGGTACAGGGCAAAAATAGGAAGCTCATCTGTGAGTTAGCTTGGTTTGTGAGAAGCTTGGAGCAGCCTGCCTTGCAGTACAACAGCAATGTGGACCTGAGTCACGTTAGACGTGTGAATGAAATCTTCTCTGTCTTGTTAAGACTTTCATATAATAAGTAAAATGTCTGAATTTTTAATAGAAGTATTCAGTGAATAAATACCAGAAAGTGCTTTTCCAAGCACAGGTTAAAACCATTGACTGTAATGAAAACTTCACTTTGTTTGCTTTGGCTGTACCAAGTAGCTGTTCTCTTTGATTTTACTGGAGTAGTCTCTTGTTAAGGTTTTCTCTCATTCCTGGTGATTTCTGTTGAGGAATTCCATCATGACTTTTCTGTGCTGAAGGGTTTTGATTGGGAACACACTGTATCTGGAATAAAATGGCACTTGTTTGGTTCTGGAGAACTTGGGAGCTCTCAGAGGGAGACTGTTTAATGGGATGTATGTTCTGTACTCCTATGCAAAAATATAATTCTTACTTTTAAATTACTAGGGGATTGTGTTTAATTATAGATCTTAAATGCAAAGTTGGAATGAAAGTTACAAAGAAAGCAACCTTAATGATGATAAAATGTAGAATATAGTAGTAATACTGCAGAGAATATGAAGAAATTAAATCCCAGCATAGGGCCTGCATGGTGCTGGGAGAGCATGGGGGGAAGAGGAGGTGACGGCCACATAGGGCTCAGGCGGTGGTGGCAAGTGCCTCCCCCCTGCTCACCGGGCAATGTCACAACCTGTGAGGCAGAGAGGCTTGTACAGTGGCAGTGGCAGCAATCTAGCATGAAATGCAGCTGCTGGAGATGACAGTGCTGTAACAAGGGCATGACAGATGTTAAAATCAGATATATGAGTGTCAGGAAAGTGTTCCTAAAACTGCCCATACTTCTTCCCAAATATTTTTAAGAACATTTCCCTGATTATGTAGAAAACCAGACCAAGCTGCACAGCTCTCTCAGCCTCCTCATCCCACCAGCGCGTTCATCCTGTTCTCGGCGTAGAAACATCTGCATAAGATGGATGCGGTGGCTCCAGACAGACCAGGCTGCCCAAGCAGGGAAGTACTGGCCTCCTCCCGCGCATGGAAGTGGATGCTGCATCTGGCCCTGCTGCGCGGCACTGAGGGTCTGGGCGAGATGGGAATAGCGGGGCTCTGTTTCTGGGAATGACAGGGCGCTGTTTCTGGGCAGTTAACAGATCTGTGGCTCAGCCTTGAGAGCTTGCTCTCATGTTTCAAGCTTTGAGGTTTTATACACAGAGAAGGCTTTGGCCTTAACTGGGCTCCCCTGCTTCTGTAAAACCAGCAAGTTTTCAGAGAGCCAAAGTTCTGCCCCAAATCAGCCTTTCTGATGTATTAGGGGTTATAGCCTTCACCAGAGCACTGTTTAACTAGGAATGTGATTTAAAAGCAATTTAGTAAAATCCCACTGCAGACATTTTCATTTCAGTCTAATCCTGTCTTAGAGTGGCTCATCTCAAATAGATTAGGAGTTGTTTTAAGCTAAATATAATGGCTCGTAAACAATATGTTTGAGCCTCCACACAGAGGCTTGTGCCAGCCATTTGAAATTGAATTAAAAACTAAACCAACACACTTTCCTAAATAAATAAACCTAACACTTCTACTCTGCTACCAGGAGTGAACACAGGCAACCAGGATTGAAAGAGCAGGAGTGGCTGTTGAAGAGGGAGGATTTCTGAATGGGCTCTTTCCACCAGCTTGTATTATGAAAACCAGGGAAAGAATGTTTCTTCCTCTAACAAATTAAAAAGGAAATCTGCAAAAAGAGGAAAGGGAATAAAGAGCACAGACTAAACAAAATGAAATAAATATGCATTGGAATTAGAGAGAAGGAAACCAAAAAAGAAAATAGTAAAAAATGGAACCAGATGGGGACAAATTCTGTGCTCAGGAAAAAAATGCTGCTCTTCTGTTGAACTTCAGAAGGAAGAGAGACTGTGTGCATGTGTTTGTGTGTATTCATAGCATCTATGGAAGAAAAATTCATTTTTCTGGATTTTTTTTTAATTGTTTATGTTTGTTTCTTTCCCTTGGCCAGTGTTAGTGTAGAAGTTTTAGTTTTAACTGAGAGAACTTCAGTTAGATGAAAGCAACATTAAAGAATCTTTAATTCTGCAAATAAACAGAATAAATCACTCAATGCCACCTTAGTCACTGGCCAGTTTTGCTCCCCAAAAACTACTCATCTGCATTATTCTGTTGATCTTGTGTCCACTGTGCCCCTGGATCCACATCCACAGTATTCTACTCTCTGCAAGGGAAGAAGTAGGAGTTAAGATGTGCAACACCACCTAATGCAAACCTGAACTGCATGAGCCAGCTTCAGAGAGTTTATAGCAGGTGTCATTTCACTACATAGTGTATGCAAAGATTTCATGGCAGTGAGAGCTGGAGTCTTGAGACTGGTTTCTAAATAGAAGTAAATCGGTAAAATGCCGAATGGTTACTGTTCTTATATTTTATTTTAAAATTACTGCATTGTTAAAGATTTTTTTTTTGTTCTAATGCTAAATATATCAAATGGACAAGTGTATCTTTTGCTGGGATATTATTTGCAGCACATTTCTGTCACACCTTGCTAGCTGTTCCCTCTGCCTTCCTTGCTCCCACACATGAACGCAAGTTCTGCAAGTCATTTCTGTAATTAGCTGTTAAAAGCATCTAGACATTGAAGGAGGTTAATTTTACTTTTGTTTAATTGATTTTTTTCAGCTTTTGCCTGCATTTTTCTCTAGCTTAAACTATAGAAACCTCCTTATTACAAAGCTAGTCATCAAACCATGTCTCTTATGAGGAACAACTGTAGTAGTGGATAATTCTGTTCAGTCTTACCATCATGTCTGTCTATGAGGTTTTTATGCTTTTCTGTTTTCCCTCCACCATTTATATTGGCTTTTACTATGCTATGCTGAAGTTGGGGAATTATCTTAAATTTCTTTGAGATCCAGTTGGATTCTTTGGCCTCAGGGACTGAGAGAGCACAGCCAGTGTGTTTTCCTGTTCTAATTCCTCTTTAGAAGGAGAGGGGCTCTTCTTCACGTGCTGCCAGTTTCTCATGCAGAATTTCAATTTATGCAAGCAAATACATAGGAGATATGTACCCAGGCTCTGTGATCCCAAATGGTTCACAATTAATAGTTCTTTTCTTCCTTGCAGGAGTGTGCAACCTGGGAAATGTTTTTGCAATTGAATTAACTTCAGGAAGTGTATTCTGGATGAATTGACCAGGCCTCCTATTCTATGAAAACATCTCTCCTGCTGGTGACCAGGTACAGAACCTGTGGGATTTGCACCGAGAGGGATGGGAGTGGGTAGAAGTTGTGGTGTGAGCAGCAGCACAGGGAAGCATCTCTGGTGTGTGGCATTCCTGGCCTATAAGAGTTGGAAGGTGTAGAGCCATCTCATGTCTTAGATTGCAGCGTGACAATATAGGAGTCATTCTTCTCCAGGGCGGGATTAATGGCAGTACCAGTTTACTGGCATTCTCTGATGTGGCACACCTTTCCTAATGACAGTTAGGTGCCTTAGGTTACATCAAATTTTATGCCAAATCCACAAGCTTTTAACATGTGCAGCAGGTTGGTTTGTTGGGTTTTTTTTCATTCCAGTAGCACAAGCTAACAGTGAAGGGATTTAACACTTGGCAAGTAGGTCAGGAGACCTAAGATATTATATGACCAAGCACTGTAATGTGTAGTTGTCATGACTTAGAGCAGATGGCATTACACTTGAAAACTGCACAGTGAAGCCTACAATGTTTATGGGGTGGTGCTAATGAACAGTAATAGTATGAAAAGGTTCACTGAGATGTATAGTTAATAAGAAAGAAAGAAATAACAGTAAGTTTACTTTTTTTTTCACTGAAGCAGAAGGTCCATCCGAAAGTATGTGCTGTAGAAAGGCCGCAACATGCCGACCTAGAGCTGGTGCAGTCCAGTAGATCAAGTATTATTTTCTGTCTGGGTCCTGTGTTGTAAGCCCCAACTGTGGCTTCTTTGTGATTAGTGGACCAGGTAGAAACTGATGCTGGAAGGGTTCCCGAGGTGCCTGCAATTTTGGTTATCTGTAGGCATGAGTACAAAACCATTCAGGGTTCCTCCTTGATAAAGTCTATAGCTGGTCCATGTGGGTTGATGTTTTGGTGTAGTTTCAGCAGTGCACTTGCTTTGGAAACTACAGTCTGAAGAAATCTGGGTGCCAGGCTTGGGAGATGTGAGAGGGAAGAGTTAGCCCTAGGAACAGAAATGTTTTGCTTCATTCGTGGATCCACAACTCTTACCAGGCATGATGGACTGCTACCAGATAAGGATTGGTGCAAAGACTATTTTTTGAAGAGTTATTTCCACAGGACCAAAAAAGAGGGTACTACTGAGTGATCAGTAGTCAAACATACCTGTTTGGACATCAGTGCTAGGAAAGGATGGCCTGTTTAAAGGAGGGAGACATGCAGATAGGGAAAATATCAGTATTTTTAAATTGATGTTTATATTTTATTTCAAATTAGTAAATTGGATGCTGCAAAAAAACTTACAATGCAATACTGAGATAAAGATGGTGAATTATGTCACCCTCACCCATTTCACATATGATATGGGAGTATGGAATGTCCTATGAACACAGTAATGATGACAGACAGCACAAATACAACCTCTGAAAAAAGACTGAAAGAAATATGATTGCTTAGCCTAAAGAGGAGAAGATCAAAGGGACATGTAAACAGTTTTCAAATAACCATGAAGAGGAAAGGAATAAATTCTTCTAAGCATCAGTTGTAAATAGGATGAGAAATAGTAAATGAAATCACAGCAAAGGAGGTCTAAATTAAGTACTGGGAAAAGCTTTATTGGCTGTCATGCTAATGAGGTAGATGACTGAGGGATATTGCAGAGTTTCCATCAGTGGAGATTTTTAGAGAGAAAAGAGATAAATACCTGCCATAGTGACTTAGTGGAAGAGTAGATGCCTTCTTCCAGCCCTGCTGTCTTTTGTTCAGTATTTCAGTCTCCTTGTTGACATGACTGAATTTTTCTGGTTATTGATGAATGTTGAATAGTTATTGCCTTTAAAATTAACATTTCCATATGTACAGTACAGTATACTCCATACTCCACTTTTCAGGGAGGGAAGGTAGAATACTGTTCCTGAGTTTCCTGAGGAGATTTTGCTCTTTTAATTTGAGAGTGAACAGGTAAAATGAGTGCATTATACTCAGCACTGTGGGAAAGTACTGAGTTACTGTTAGCAGCTGGCACGTAACAACCAGGTCTGATCCTGGCATAAGAGGGAGACCTGAAAAGGCAGGACCTGCTGCTGTCTCAGGTGAACAGTTGTGGCAAACTGCTTATTTTTAACACAGATCTCAAATCTCTGGTACTAATGGCAAACTTCAAATTCATGCTGGCTGTGCAAAACCAGCTTGGTCTGCATTGAACAGCATTTCCTAATATCAAGTTCTGATGGATCAGGGCTCACCTAAAGAAGCGTTAGTCTGCAGAGTTCATGCTTTGTTGACACAGCAGCCCTGGTGCCACTGTACCCCTTCTGTGAAGCGGAGCTTTTTGACTCTATGATGGTGCCCAGACTGGCACCCCCTGTAACCTGGCCTTCTGGGAGTCTACCTGTTCACGGGGGCCTTGGCCAGTCATTAGGCCTGCAGTTTAAGAGAGAAAGTAGACTTCATGAGAGTAATAACATCTTATGACCCAATAAATCAATACAAAGCTTCCTTGCAGCTGTGGGTTTGATCCAGATATTACAGCTCTCTGAGTTTGGAAAAAGTTTTCTTTTTATCTGGAAGCCTGTGGCCTCAGATTTTAAGTAGCTCTTAACTCTCCATTTAATTACAAATTCTGGTTTTGAAAGCAGAGATATTGGGAGTCTTATTTCAGTCTGCCATATGCTAAACTTAGCCTTCAAATTTTCTGAAAATAAACCCAGTCTAGTTTTGCCCATGCAAGCTAACCAAATAATTCAGTCAGTCTGGTCAGGGTTTTGGCCGTATTTACAGGATTTGGCAGATGTGATGCTAACTTTAGCTAGGGCTTAACAACTGTGACAACCACTCCTATTACAAATAAATTAAAGGGGAAATTAGTTGCCACCCTCCAATACCTGCTGTTTCAGGGCACCTGCACTGAGTACTCCAGCCTGCTGTGACTAATTTGTTTTCTTCTCTGAGCTTTTGGTAGACTGGCATTAGCAAGGACGAATTTGAGCAGTCCTGTGGAGGACTCTCCTGAGTAAGAGGACATGTTGAATGTTCTAAAGAGGAAATGCAAGTGTTGAATGATGGTATGTGGCTGCTTTGGGTTTTGTGGGTATGTTTTTTCGTGGCATTGGTATGCCATACAAACTTTTTTTTTTAGCTTGAACTACAACAAACTATTACTTTTTATGCAAAAAGCTGCATTTGGAATACTAGCAGGAGCTCAGTTAGACCCACTGTCTTGAATAGAGGCAAATAACCTCCAAACCCAGCTGCTTCCTGGGCTCCCAGAGAGGTCCTGCATGGCCTGTGTGGCAGGCTGCCTCAGAGCTGCCAGCTAACATGAAGGTGCAATGCTGGCTGGGCACCACCTCCAAAAACCTGGCAAGAGCAGGAGCCGCTGTGGACCCCAGAGCAGCTGTCTGGGGCAGCTTGTCTCTCCTCAAGCAATGGCTTGTGGCTCCTGCTAAGTTCAGGCAAGATGTTGATTTGTCCCTGTTGGCATATTCACCTGCCTAGCACATCCACCTGGGTCTGACCTATGCAGTCAGCTAGATATGACCTCATATGGGATGTCACTGCAGTGACCTGGGCACTCTGGTAGACCAATGCCCTGCAGGACTGGCACCCACATGGCACACTGCCTTTGACTACACTTGCTGCATGGAAACAATTGGTTGTCAAAGGTCATAGAAAACAATTAGAGATATAAATATTTAAAATAAAATGAAGATAACCAAATGGAACTGCTTGGTTTTTACTAGGGCAAACATTCTGGTTTAGTGTGTGTTGACTCAACCAGCTTCACAAGTAGAAAGTGGAAGGGTGCTGTATGTTTCCAGCCTGGGTTGCTGCAGTAGGCAATGCGGCTGTGCTGTTTTCCTTCTCAGGAAGGCAGCACAAGACATGCCTCCTCTTCACTTAGGGGAATATCGACTAGTTCTTGTCCGAAGCTGTGAAAGACTTTGCCCTATTTTTTGGCAGAATCCATTAATAATCATTCTTTCCATCTTCTTTGCTCACTAGCTAAGTACTTGCCATGTGCAGCTGTAAAAAGTTGTTTCCAAAGAGAAATAAATTGGAGCAAAAACTTCTGTAATCGGAGATGCGGAGGAAAGCAGAAGGGCGTTTTCAGTTTGGTGTCCTTGGTTGCTTTTTGTTTGATTTGTGCCGTGCTTTAAACTAGAGCCCTTTACAGGACTGTGGGCCCCCCTGGCTTGTCTGCATCTGAGTCCTCCCAGTCTTAGCTCTAGTAGCACTGACTTGCCCCATGTCCCTCCCAGGACCAGGGATAATCAGGGCATCAGGAGTCCGTAAGAGACCCCTGTGCCAGGTTGGCAGCACCGTGTCGATACCTTAAGGAAGCTGAGAAAACATAAGCATCTAGCAATTGGATTTAGATGCCTAAGTTGGAAAATTTAGTTTGGGTGTCAAAGTTATTGATTGTAGTTATAGTTTCTTGGGACATTTTTATTGCAAATATGTTCTAACTAATACTATCAGTTTATCAAAACCTTTTTTTGCCTGAGATCAAAGGAGAATTTGGTACAAAATTTAAATTTTATAAATTAGAAAATTCTAAAGTGAGCTTTTAAAAGAAATTTAGAATACTTGAAGTGGAATATAGGATCTGCTGAAATTTGGACTTCCAACAACAGAATGTTTGGTTTGTTTTTTAATTCCTGATTAAGATAGAAATCTCTTATGTCTCAAACTTTGTCAGGTCATAAAATTAATTTCCCACTCTATTTTTTTCCCCAAATCTCACATTATTAAACTCATACAAATTTTTGTGCTTCTCCAGGTAGATCAGGGAATCTAGATTCTGTCTTTCATATAACATTAGAGTTGCTTTGAGTTTGAAAGAACCACAGACTGATGCAAAACAGAACTTGGACCTTGCCATCTATTAGATAACTGCCAAAACAAGTAGATAAGTGTACTTCATAAATGAAATCTTCAGAAGCTATCTTAACTTATAGGGCCTTCAGCTGGACAATGAAAACCTTAGATGAGGTACGGACAACTTAACTGTGTTGCCCTTACTGTAAGTGTTTCAGTTGG